GTCAGCCAGGTTTATGCAGTAGTAACTCACACTTAAGTTTCAGTTGCATCTCATGTTTAAATTTTATCTGCCAGGTTTCTCTAGCAGGTTGTTGGTGAGGAGAAATGCAGTGCTCAGCAATTTACTTCCACTCCTCAATGCTGTTTGGACCAAGTAATATATAGATTTAGCCAAGCCTAAAAGCGGAGCTCGCATTTTTTTTTCCCACACGTCTCAAGGGCACAACGCCTTGCCCCGGCCAGGACTAGAACCCGGGTCGTCCTACTCGGAGCCCAGTGCACTGACCACTGAACTACTGGACAAAGCCGTTGGCGTGCCCGCGGCACAGTTGAATACCGCATGTCGCATGTCAAAAGAAGCACCTTGTACGTTTTTATGTTAATCACTTCTGGGAGTTAAAGGGTTAAATAGAAGTAACTCAAACATTGAAAGACCTCTGAAATTACCAACATAGATCAAATATCAAAAACCCCTTGCAACAATTATGGACATCATTTTGTAGACTTCGACGAGTTATTATCCTTTTCTGTAATCACTGCATCTCTAACCTCAGAAAGAATGCATGTACCTATGTTAGGGAAAATGCCCCATTAATCGAAATTACAAATACATGTAACAATTCAAATCTATACGGCAAAAGTAATCGTCTCTACCGGAATAATGTTGGCTTCTGTGCATCTGTGAACGTTGATATATAAGTAGTGGAGAAGCGCTAAAGGGAAAGAAATGCTATAAATGTGTGTTCTAATCCTACTCTGTTAGATGTAAACAAACCGCATATAATTTCCCGCTCGTAACTCATCGAAGCAATCCGCAAAATTTCAAACTCAGCATTTCCCGTATCCATCAGACAAAGTAGATTAAAAGGCTGAAACCAAAATATAAGGAGCAAAACTTATTAGAGTGTTTAAATAAAGGATGGGCCGTTGCAAAATATTTTCATATTACAGTGCGAGACTTTGAAGAAAAAAATTTGGCGGTGCAAACAGTTACTAGAGTAACTACGACTGCTGGGGGGCTAAAGTTAGCTGTGGCCGTGACAGTTTAGAGAAATGGGGATTGATCATTTGCTGAATATATTACACGACAGCAACGATGAAACAAGACATAGAAGTATTCAGCATAGTAGATCTCCGGACTTTCTAAACGATACTCAAGCACTTAACAGCAGAGACTCTGAGTCCACGTTCTCTTGTGCTCAAGGCATGATAAATTGTACGGTTTGTGGAGCGAGAAAACTAAATTATTTGGGAAACGTTTATGTAACACCAAATAACTCACTGCAAAAGGTCTCCGTGATTATGGTTTTACCAAAAAAAATGTCACGCTCGTTCCAAAATTCGTAAACTTCCCAGAGACGTTTCCACATGAGGTAAACTAATAATTTGCGCAAGGTGAAGCTTCAAGTTAACTTGTCACGAACTTGTCACGCAATTTTAACGGCACATTCCGAACAATAAGTCGACGAGCCCATCGTCCCAATTTGTTTGCAGTGATCACAGTCCTTTAAGCTTTTTTTTTTTGAAAGGACTATTGTAATTAAAAAGAAATGAGCTTCCATTAGTTTCTTACAAGGAGGGCGGGAAGAAATAGGATGCCGGCAAAAGGAGAAACACAAGAACACAAATGGCAGTAGAGAGTTGATAAAAGGAAAACAAATAGATATGATGAATAACGCAAAATAAAGTGCAAGAAAAGGAAAATGGAATGCTGTATCGGCTTAGCGCAGAGGGAAGCGAGAAAGGGACTGAATAGGGAATGAGAAGATTTCCCTCAGGGGCCGCGATCAAAGAAAGCAAAAATGAGAAAGCAAAACGAAACACTGACGGAATACGAGTAATAGATAGGAATTATATAATGAACGAACTAGGAAAGATATTAAGCTAGTTAATAACATCAACAGGGATGATAACATGCAAAGTAAACATTGAAACATGATCAACCCAAGATCTTTAATCTTTCCCTCTAACTGTGATTATTTGAAATAACACGAATGGAAAAAAATATTTAGTTTTTATAACATTAAAATAACTCGAGAAACTTTATTTCGCTTAATTAACGAGGATTTCACACCAGGAATGAATATATGTAAACACTAATAAGTAGATTAGAACGAAATAAAAGCCAATCGCTTGATAAAAAAGATCTTAATCCACGAAAAAGCAAAAGTCAAATTAATTTGCTATAGCAACATAAACAGAAAGGTGCATCTAACAATTTCAAAATGCATGCAACATTGAAATTGGGATTAGGAATATCGTGAATTCTAGTAAGAGTAAAAATTCCTTATTCTTTCTTCATTCAAGAGGTAATACCATCCAAACTCTCTTAAACTGGAGCCGTCATTCCGACGGCGGTAATTGTGCTAGGCGTCTAATAGGAAAAAAAAAAGTATGCCGCATACTTTTTCTGAGTCAGCAGATTTCTATTTAATTCTACCGCCGCCAAGAACTGGATACTAAAGCGTAGCTTCGTCATGATGAAAAAAAATATTAGTTATTTCAATAATTCATGAAGATCAGATTTTTATAGTGACCCTATCCTTTTCCTAACTCAAGAGGGATCGTACGGCAAACTAAAGTAACATTAAAGGTGAATTCAAACTAACAAGTTTCCCTAAGTAGTGTAGAGGGAAAAATACGCATTTTTGTTGGTTTTTTGGGGGGAAAATGAAAAAAAAGAAAAAAAATTGGTTTGTGTAAAGCTTGCGACCAAAGGAATTGAAAGCATCTCTCTTTATTCCAACATCTAGCCCAAAAAAAAGCCTATAGGAATGTTGTGGAAATATCAACTCCGGCATGTTTCCTGCAACTAGAGCCGTTGATTGGTGTTCTCTACAGAAGCAAACAAAAAAATGCAGTTGCTGGGGAAACCTAATTCACTTTCGCAACAGCATGTTATTATCATTTTTTTCTAGAAGATTTACGTAATTAACTTTATCAGTCACCCCGGCTCCTTTCGCCTATGACTCTGTCTTCTTGTCCCCGATGGTGGCATAGCGATTTTCAGAATCTTCGATGATTGCAGGATCTTTAGTGAATGGTACACCATAGGTTGGGTTACTCATAACGGTTTTTTCGGTTACTTGCTGGGTTGCGTTGTTGTTGTCCAAGGATCCAACCCCGTTGACTTGCTCTTGTCTGGATGTCACCGATCCACTTCTGTGGTGGACGGATTCATGCGTCGTGTTTTCCGCGGCATACCCTGGGTTTTCAAATGTAACAGTGAAATTGGCTCTGGGGTGCGCAAAGTCACTGTCCAAATAAATTTCGTCTGTTCTTTTCCCTGTGCGACTTCTTTTCCTGTAAGACAAATCAGACATTTCCTAAGAAAAGAGAAAGCAACCACAACAACAGTCCCTTCTAAATAAATGCCCTTCTGTCATAGTTATTCTCTCCATTTTCAGTAAAGAAGTAAATGATATTTCTAATGCAGTTGCAGTTTGTTGGGACGTCTCCAACCTCCAAGGGGCTACGTCGCGATGTTTCGTGATATTTTTGTAGTAGCAGGAGTAGGTGATTTACAATAGAAGGAAACTAAAAAATACTGAAAAGCTTTCTGGGATACACTGAGACTCCAAAAGCGCAAGAAGATGCAGAATGAAATATAAGAAGGAAGGAGGATGACAGGGACGAAAAAGATTAACAGGATTGTAAATGTCAAAGCCAAAAGATGTGGGCCTACTTCATAATAACTGGTCGACTGACTGATTAATAAATAAAATAAAGTTACTTCTTTCGAAAGCCTCACCGCATCATTTGGCAGACGAAGAATACCACGATTAACATCAACAGAACAACAGTGCCTCCTAACCCAGCAACAATTGGCACGTTAAACGTCTCTTTATCTTGAGTAGACCTTTCAGTATTTGTTGGGTTCTCTACCTGTCGTTTGCCTTGAAAAAAGGTAGAAAGTGATTATCGTTTAACAATTTACAACTATCTGTGCTACATATCAAGTCCTGAGTTTTGATTGGTGCCCAGGCCCTGGTATCTAAGCTTATATACCGCATGTACCTCAAACATGGTATTAAAAAAAAACAAGCCCTGCAATGTTTGACACAAATTTAGTGATATTGTACAATAATCGTCCCCAAACTTAGTATACAGCTAGTGTACAAGGGAAGGATTCATACCAACTGGAGCACTTCATATAGAGACTGTGATATCGGCTTTGTGAAGAAAGAGTGGGCGAAATGAAAATCTATTCTATTTTGAAATCGTCAAAATGTTCCGATAACTATCGAGAATTTTCGGCTCGTTGACTGGGAATCAGGGCCACAAAAATAAGCTAAAGTTAACCACCTAATTGATGACTCAAAAATAGAGGCCAAGCAAAAAAATAATAAAATAAATAAACGTGACTTAAATCAGCGCAAATTTTTCAAGGTAGTCTTACTTTAATTTTCTATGATAACATATGGAAGGGATGGCTTATGAGAATTAGCTCAGTTTGTAACCAAATCGCTTCCTTTTTGTCCTCGTCATTGACCAAACTACAAGCTTTGAAATGCCTGAATTTCTGAAACTCTGCAGCTATTGATGTAGAAGTCGGAGTCTAGTGACTGAAACGTTTGGTTCTCCATAGCAAAGGAACCCGGGGGAGATACAAGCTAGTTGTCCATTAACCTAAAATAGATCTCAAACTCTATGGTATGTCTTGCTTTCATATTATCAAAAAAAAAAAAATGGCTTATTGCCTTTTTCCTGAGAAGAGCGATAAAGGTTAAAAATGTTGTTACCGATCCTGATGATTGTGCCTCCAATGGCTGCCCCAAGACCTTCATCATTTTTTTGGAGTATTTGGTCCAGTGTAGCACGAGGTACAGGTTCAGGAACCTGGCCTTCCACAGATGGAAATAAAACAGCTACCTCTATTTTCAAAATATTTTCTCCACCAATGGAAAGTCCAAGTATTTTAGCGTCGGAAGCCACGAATTTCTTTTCCTTTTCTGAATTACTATCTCGTTTTGACTTGCTGCAGGTGAATTTTAAGAAATTAAGTCACACTTATTTTAGGAAAAGCCTAAAATGCGGTGGTGGGGGGAATTCGCTGATTGACATATCTGATCTAAAAGAGGAGTTGATGTTAATGGTAGGACCGTCAACAATTTCCTCTTATGTAAAATTACGAATATTCGAGCGTTTGTCAATCAGATAAACGAACTTGATTTTTTTCTCACGTTGTTTTTAAATGAAGAAGGCCAACTCTCCAATGCATGGAGTGTAAATACATTAATCAGATACTACCGTTACCTTCCACATTCCTCATCTACGCAAAAAAAACTTGTGCAAGCTTTTGCCACTGCAGCCTGGAAGTTATACGTTATCCATTGTTTCTAAACAGAATTCAATAAAATAAAAACAGGATTGTGCTATCTAATGAAAAGTTCGTTCAAGTTAAACATGACTTGCGGTTTATTTAGCTCCCGGCGCTATTCATTTAGAGCTGTTGTTTGTAGAAAGTGGAGGAGATGAAAGCGAATCCACCGATACAAACCTACTTGGTGACAGAGCAAAGGATCCGACATTGGAAACTCAGTTCGAATCCTTCGCAGATCTAGGTATGTATTCGTAAGGAAACAGTAGCCATTTTTATTTCTAGAGCTCACACGGATATTGATCAACCAAATAGAGAATCAGTCATTGTTAAAATAGCTGGTCGGGATAACAAAGGAAAAGAAATAAAAATTCTTGACTTCTTCTACCAGTAAAACCTTGATTCACCGTTCTTGCACTTCCTACGGAACTTTCTATGGTTAAAAGAAAAATGCAAGGCTGGTTACGCTGGGGGGAGGAGGGGGGAAAGGTGTCAGCACGAAACAAAACGCAGCATCCTTACCTCGTTTTGAAGATTTATCTCTACTTCTACGGCGCTTGAACCTAAAATGAGAACAGCATTCTTAAAAATTCTTCTTGCAATTACAATGATGTTATTGAGAGGTATCAAACCTTTCACAAGATGTTATGAAGTCCTTCTAGCCAGCACTGATCTTATTTCTGGGCAGCTTCTTTTCTTTCATTTTGAGTTTTATAGCGAACATTTACATTGAAATAGAACCTATGTTATGACTTGCATCCCATGTCCATACTCGTGTTTTTAACACTAGGTGATCTTGTATGACAACTGACACAAAGGGGAATATGATATCCTTAGTACTACTCTAGAATAGGAATTCTTACAATCTAGCCTGTACGAAAATGCGACTTCAGCTGAGCACAGCCCGGATAGATTACATTTACATCTCTACCATCTTCCCCGCATACTGATTCTCTGTGGTACAAGGGAACAGATGACCTAGTTTCACCAAATCGGCTTGATAAACAAGAGCATAAGCTCAATTTAATCGATTTACGCTTACCAACGTAAACAAGGCAGAGGTCCCAAACATAATACTTCGGACACTCGCAAAAATAACCAGGAATTACACAAGATCCTCCATTTCTACACTTGTTCGAACGACAATCATAAGGACCAGGAGGAGTTGATTGTTGTCTGGTGGACGACTGCTGTGTGGTGAACGACTGCTGTGTGGGGGATGACTTCTGTCTGGTGGGTGACTGTTGTGTGGTGGATGACTGCTGTCTGGTGGATGACTGCCGTATTGTGGATGACTGCTGTTTGGTGGATGACTGCTGTGTGGTGGATAACTGCCGTGTAGTGGATGACTGCTGTCGGGTGGATGACTGCTGTGTGGTGGATGACTGTTGTATGGTGGATGACTGCTGTGTGGTGGATGACTGCTGTGTGGTGGATGACTGCTGTCTAGTGGATGACTGCTGTCTGGTGGATGACTGCCGTGTGGTGGATGACTGCCGTGTGGTGGATGACCGCTGTGTGGTGGATGACTGCTGTCTGGTGGATGACTGTTGTCTGGTGGATAACTGCCGTGTGGTGGATGACTGCTGTGTGGTGGGTGACTGCTGTGTGGTGGGTGACTGCTGTGTGGTTGTGGCTTCAGGCGTAGTTGAAGAAGGCGGAGAATAAAGGTGGACTGATTTCGGAGAAGAAAGATTCTGATTAGACATAAATAAACAATAATTCGTCATTCACTCTGAGGAAGGGCTGACGCTCGAAAGGTTAGCTTTGTAACTCTTTACGGTGGCCAATTTAAGTTATCAACTCAGTAGATAATACTAAATTAACCTGTTATACTCTTTCACTGACGCAGCATCACAGTTTCTTTAGAGACTTACCCCCTTTAAATAAGGGAAGGGAAATTCTCATTGACGTTGTTTGTTATGAGAGGAAAAAACTTTCCGCACACGACGCTTAAAGAAAAATTGTGGCTTAGAGGAACAGATAATGCCCGAAGAAAATGTACGAGCACAGTGTTTGTCATTTGCAATCGGACGGCGTGTACTGAGCTTACTAGTAGAGTAAAGAAAGCTGTTGTTCAACTGTCGTTGCTTTGTTTTGAGTGGACCTGACTAGGAAAACGTCTGACAAGGGTATATCTGACTCTGAAATTCTCGATATAGTTCGTCGAAACTAAATGGCCATCCTCAAATACACCACTTACCAGAACTAGAGCAATTTTCACCGGGTTGCAGGTAGTCTGGACACGAGCACCGATATCCATCCGGTCTCAAAAGACACAGGTGAGAACACCCACCATAGGACTTAGAACAGGGGTGATCTGTTGACGAAGAAACTTCGATATAATCAAGCGCTCATAACTATGAGAAATGCAAGGCAACCTGTTTCATTTTTTTGATAGCTTTTGATTTGATCTCCTCCAAATTTATACGAAAAAGTACGAGTCCACCTCCAGCTCCTAGTATACCTATGTATACAGTAGTTTGGTGAGTGTCTGTTAACCATTGATTGGAAACTAAGTTACTGGTTTTCATTCCTTGCCTCAAACCATCATGATAACTTGTACAAACTAAGAGAACATAAGCTTTTGTTGAGCTTTATCCGCGAACTGTATGATTACGGATTTAATTTCAAGCTAGAACGCAAGATAAGAATGAGTCTAGAAATATTCCGAATTATAGAGAATATGTACCTTTTTTCATGCTCTTAATGTTCATTATTTTTCATATTCCGTCACACCATCTCTCTTTTTCAAAAAGTTGATTATTGCACAAAATTATTTCTGGGGTAAAACGCCTTCAGTTGAGTAGATTAGTAGTAAGGAATCCATTAATGATTTTTTCACAGTATCCAGAATGCCGAAAACAAGTAGCCATTCCTTAAAGTTGACGGCACTATGGAGGTCACTTCAAAATGTCTCTAAAGGAGGTGACTCAGGAGAAGACAAAAAAGACATAAAGCTAGGGTTTTAGAAGTTGTTTACCTGGGAGAGGTTTATTCCTATCATAAGCATGTATATACATGGGTCGACGAAGGCCCTTGGCAACAACTGTCATGTTTGAAAGTGTCTTCTTTTCCGCTCGATTAACAACATCTAATCTAAGATCCGTCCAGTACAAGTGATCTTCGAGCAGCGTCAAACCAAACGGATATGGTAATTTAGAACTATCTTCCATCAAAGTTGTTATTGTGTGACGTTCCAAATCATAGTATTCAAGGACATCAAAGTATGCGTCTACCCAGTAGAGCCGATTATTTGCTTCATCTAAAGTGAGACCATTTGGCCAGTATAATCCTCTTTTTACCAATATTTGCCGACTGCTTCCGTCCATGTTAGCAACTTCAATCTTAGGCACAGTACCCCGGTCACACCAGTACATCAACCTTAAAAGCAGCAAAAATCAAGAAAGTCGCATATCTATGGCAAATGTTCCCGCTTGACGATAATGGCTGATGGCGAAAGAAGAAGAGGTTGTGATGGAGTCTCTTAAACAGCTCTTGTGGTACATCAGTAAAGTGAGACCAGGAGATTATAAGGTTGGTTGGGGTGAGTCTCTTAGTTAGACATAATGGTGTGCGAATTTTTTCTTGAAACAAATTGGCACTGATAAACCGTTCTGCAGACTCTCGTTTGCTGAAACTTACCTACTAAGAGCTAAGAGCTGAGAGCACACCAACTGTTTACGCCTAACGGTTAAAATTTTGGCCATTTCACGGCTGCCGTTAGCCCAAAATGACACATAATGACGGATTGTAAAAGGGAAAAATGTTTACGGTTAACTTTTTTTCACGACTATCGGTTTAAATCGGTCAATTTTACGCCTAACGGCTAATGGTTAACTCCATCGAGACCCTCGTTTAGAAGACTATTTTTGAAACTGTCTTGAGACCACTAATAATGAAAACAAATTGCTATTCTTAACAAAAAGGTTACAAGGTTTGTTTCTTTCCCTTTTATTTCCTGGGCAGGACAGGCTTTCGTCTGTGAAAAAAACAAAAAGATCCAAAGGCATGCATGGGAATATAGAACTAAAGTAGTAAGCTTCTTTTTTAAATATACTAATTTTCTTTGCAATAGAGTGTACAACAAATAACGTGATTCCTAAATAATTGGTTCAACAAGATCATCTAATAAAAAATATAGGTTAACGTGCTCATTAGAGTACAAAAGACCATTGTACCTAGTGACCTCGTCCAATGAATAAAAAAACCAAATACCATGTTCTCACAATGCGCGCGATTACTCACCAAATTATTTTATGCGCAATGCAGGAT